CACACACACACACACACACACACACACACACACACACACATGCCCAAGTACTTTGCTCTCCTGAAGAGGTGTAGGAAGAGCACTGAATGTGGAGTCCAAGGACCTGAGTCTGAGTCCCAGTTCCATCGTGTATTAGCTGTGAGATTTTGGGCAAGTCATCTAATCTTTCTGGGCATCGCTTTCTTCAACTGTAAAGACAGGGAGTTGGATTAGATGAGCTTTAATTCCAATTCTCAGCATCACTGGATTTGATGCCTCCCAAAGGAAAGGTGGACAGTACCCCTACTCCTTCCAAGCACCATGGGGTTCTATTGTATAGGACAGAGACCATTGGCCAGATTGGCCTCCCCAAAACCAACTTTAGGAAAAAAACTACGAAGCAAGGGGAACTCTCCCCACTTTTAGCATTTCTTCCCCAATAAGGTACTAGATGCCTTTAGCCCAATCTCCAACTGCCCTCTGATTTTCCATTTAGAATCTCCCCTTAACCAGATTTCCCAGTGCATTTCTCTGAACCCTTCCTGTAATTACCAACAAAAGTCCTAAGTACCATTCCTGGACAATTTTAAGATGTGACTCCAGCTAACCTCAGCTAAATTCACCAGAGAAAATACTCTCTAAGGCCTTTTCCAGCTCTAGAAAAGTTCATGGGACCACAGGTTGAGAGCTAGAATGGACGTCAAAGGTTACTTGATCCAAACTTCTGATTTTACAAATGAGGAAACAGATCCAGAAAGATAGTGATTTTCCCAAGGTTGCCTGGTAGCAAGCAGCAAAGCTGAAATTCAAACTTGGGTCCAGAGACCTTTAAACTATAGCATGCTGCTGCTAATTATTAATTGGATAATTGGTAGTTAGAAAAAGTTATCCCTCATTATTAATTTTCCTAGTTAACAATTAATTGTCTTTTATCACTAAAGGGAATCATGGCTGGAGTGTGTTATGCCTCTGGAGAATATTGACATTCGAAGAGAAAACATTGCCTTAATCTAGAGCAAGAGTCTGTTACCTTCCTTTGTGTCATGTTCCCCTGTGGCAGCCGGGGGAAGCCTGGGGACCCCTTTTCAGAATCATCTTTTTAAATAATTGAAGGAAACACTTAATTCCAGTAGTAGTAAAAATTAAACTGTCATTTTTTTCTGTCCAAGTTCATGGACTCCCTGAAATCTGTCCACATACAGATCACAGATCCCAAGTAAAAAATCCCTGACCTAGAGGAATGAGCCTCTAAAACTGTTATTGTAACAGACTAGGAGTACCTTGGATTGCTCCCCATCTTCCTCTTAGATGATAAAAACTACCATCAAGTCAACCAGCCCCTAATCTCTTCATATCAAACATGAAAAAATGACAGCCCCTCTCACTGGGCCTATTAGCCACAAATATTTCTCATTAAACATATTTTGTTCAAGCCATGTCTGTTTGGCACAGGATTTCCTGCCCAGTTTGAACTTGGCTTGGCCAACTCCGCATTTTTTTCCAGTTAGATGGGCAGTTAGACCTGGCAGTAATTAGCATTTACTTACTACTCACAGTAGCCAGTTTTCCCTTCATTGACTATTGGAAAGAGAAACAACATGGGTCTAATAGATAACACCAGGAAGGGCATCTGTCAACCAGCCTTTAAGTTGGCTCTCTGTGTCCTCAGGTGGCTGAAGTCATCTTCCCGACAGCTGACAGCACAACGGTGGAGCTGATGCGCATCCGGAACCTGGAAGCCAAGGAGGTGACCGTGAGAACACTTTCCACTCAAGGTGAATCCATGGACTCCTTAATAGCTGCCATTCCACCCGAACTACTGGTGCCTCCAATCCCACACCCTCGAACTACTCCCAAACCTAAGCCATTAGCAAGTGCCGGAGCCCCAGATACCAAAGACGAACAGTCGGGTCCCCACATCAAAATGGATGAGTCTTGGGAGCAGACTCGCTCGGCTGCCCCCACACACGGCCACATGCTGGAACCTCCAACATCCAACTTTCCGAGCTCAGCTCCCGGGAGGCGGTCACCCTCACCCAATCGGATTCTCCCACAGCCACAGGGCACCCCTGTCCCCAACACTGTGGCCAAAGCCATGGCCCGGGAAGCTGCGCAACGCATGGCGGAGAGTAATCGAGTAAGTAAGGATCCTTTTGTCCTCATTGGTTTGTTTTCCTTGAGGAAATGCCGAACTATTTAATTCATTTCAGTTCAATGAACATTTATTGCCTACTACATGCTGGGCCTTGGAGATACAAAATTAAAAGGAAACAGGGCCTGGCCTCAAGAAACTTATCTTCTGTTGAAGGCATGCAACATGTTCTCATATAATTATATACAGTCATGGGAGTGGGATGGGGCAGTAATTTCATCAGTATATTAAACTCCTAGTGTGGAAATTTTCTCTTCTGGGGACAAATCCTCTACAACACAGAGTCATAGAGAGTTGCCTGAGTCCATTGAGAGGTTAAAGGACTTGTCAGGGTTTCCCACCTAGTTTGTGTGCAATAATATGTGTGCAATTAATAAGACCCAGATCTTATGAATAATAATAGCTAGCATTTATGTAAAACACTTTGAGGTTAGCAAAGGGCTTCACATATGTTATGTTTGGAATTCTCATGTGATCCTAACAACAGCCCTGGGAGTTTCAGTCATTATTATGTCCATTTTATAGATAAGGAAACTGAGGCTGAGAGAGGTTAAAAGGTCTTAACAGGATCACACAGTTAATAGGTATCTGAGGCTGGATTTGAATCCAGGGATTTCTGACCCCCCCCAAAAAAAGTTTTTTTTCTATGCTTTTGGTGTAGAATTTCACAGAGTTCTTTCAGTCCTTGCTAAATGTCCCCTGTCCCAGAAATATCTTTTCATCACTTTCCACCTGTTTTTGGCTAAGTACTTACAGAGGTCACATGTGTGACATGCCATGGGAGCTGCTCTGATTAGGATCATGATTTCAGTTTTGAAAAGGTGATAATAGAGGAAGGAAATGTTCTGAGAAGAGGATAGCCCAGGAGATAAGAACTCCTGCCACCAGGCTCCTTGGTATTTTGGCTTCTCTTCTCATCTTAGTCATTTGTTCTTTTCTAACAAAAGAAGCTGGTATAAGCTTATGCAACATGGCCCCTGCTCTTACAAAGCTCATGACTTGTTTTGCACAACACGACTTCTAAGCACAAGAAAACTATAATTAACAATGGAAGTGTGTCATGATAGAGAGCACTGACCTGGCCTTGGGGGACCTGCTCTGCAAGACGCCTCAGTTTCCTCATCTGTAAAATGGGGATTATAACCCTCTATCTCCTCTCCTACTTTCCTTCCCACTATTCTCCTTTCATTCCTTCTTCCTCCCTTCCTCCAGTGCTTGGCATATCTCCTGTCACATAATAGATGCTTAATAAGTGTTTATTTCCCCTCCTTCCCTTCCCCTCCTTGTTTCTCTTTCTTTTCCTTCCTCCTCATTGCCTTCCACTTCTTCCTTTATTCACTTGCCTTCTTTCCTTCTTCCTATCCTTCCTTCTTTCCTCTTCAGTGGGTCATTGTGAGGTTCAAAATAGTTAATGTATGCAAAATGCTTTGCAAATGTTGAAGTATTATTGTCATTATTATTATTAAAAATCAGCTTGATGGCACGGATAGCTGGCCTCAGTCAAGATCTGGTTTCAGTCCCTGCCTCTGATACACGTACATGTGGCTGAGTGAGTGAGCAAGTGGCTTCACTTCCAAGTGCTCCAGGCAAATTTTCTGAGACTCTTAAGTTGAAGAGAAGATGCCTACCTGTACCGGAAGAGAAAATTTCCTTACTACTCAAAATTTCCTCACCAAAACTAATGAAATTGCAGGTCCAAAAAATTTGCTATGCTGAGAAAGTTCATCAATCACTAAAGTAAAACTACATAGGACCATAGATTTAGAGCTGGAAGGATTATCTTAACCCTTCATGAGGGCTTCAGGGAGTGTCACCAGGGGCCTTCTGATAATGAAGGTACTTTAAAGGACAGCAGCAGAGGCCACCAGGGAAGCCAGCTCTAGCCCCTCTGCCACTATACTGCCCGGCAATATGCACAGTTTTGTTGTTATTCAGTCGTGTCTGATTCTTTGCAACCCCATTTGGAGTTTTCTTGGCAAAGCTACAAGAGTGGTTTGCCATTTCCTTTTCCAGATCATTTTACAGATGAGGAAACTGAGGCTAATAGGGTGAAGCGACTTGCCCAGGGTCACCCAGCTAGTAAGTATCTGAGGCCAGATTTGAATTCACAAAGAGGAGTCTTCCTGACTCCAGGCCCAGCACTCTTATCCACTGTGCCACCTAAATCAAATCTTAGCTCCTTAGGGCTCAAGAAAAGAAAGGGGTTGGACTCAAGTTCTGAAGACCCTTTCTGCTCTGACAGTCTAAGGCTTTGTGATTCTCTGAACACCACCCTGTATCTAAAAGAGCATTGGGTGAAAAAGGATAATTTCAGACCACCAGTCCTAAGATGCTTCAGGCCTGAAAATAGAGGCCTGCTCAAAGGAGGGACCTTCTCATTCCTCTCCCTGTTCCTGCCCCTGAGAGGAGCTGGCTCAGCAGGACTGAATTCCCATCTAAAGCAATAGCAGCCTCCTCCACAGGGAGCAGGGAGGCTCTGGGGCTTCCTTTATGGGTCGAGTTTCAAAGTGATTGCCTCTCCCGTGCCTGTCCACATCCACCTGGGGCTCTGCTGGAGCCTACGGAGGCCATGCTGCAACAGACGTGGTCCCCGCTGGGAAAGAACTTGACCCTTTGCTCTCTTCTGCCCAGTCTGTGCTGGAACCATCTGTTCTGTCTGCATTGGAAGTGTCCTTACTGACTACTACCCTGAATCTCAACAAATATCAAAGCAGGAGGGCCTGATACCTGCCTTCCCCTCCTACCTCTCCTTCCTTCTTTATCCCTCCCTTCTTTTCTTTCTGTTTCTTTCCCACACTTCTCCCTTTCCTTTCTCCTTTTCATGTTTACCTTTATTATTTTCCTTCCTTCATTTGCCCCGCAATTACCTTGCAGAGCTTCCTTTTATTCTTCCTTTCACCTCTCTCTTTTCTTCCTCTCTCTCTTTTCCTTTGTCCTGTCCTTCCTTCCCTCCTTCCCTTCCTCCTTTCTTCTCTCTTTCTCTTTCTGCCTTCTTTCTTTCTTCTTTCCTCCCTTATTTCTCACATTTCCCTGTTCCCTTTTCTCTCTTCTTTCCCTTCTTCTTTCATTCCTTTCTCTATCTCCTTTCTTCTTTCCCTTCCCCCTTCCTCTCTTCTTCTCCATCTCTATTTCTCCCTTCCTCCCTCCCTCCCTTTCTTCTTTCTCGCAATTTCCTTCCTCCCTCCCTTTTACTCCTCCTTTCTCTCTTCTTCCATCTCATTGAATTCAAGACTCAGCTGCTGTATCAGGTCATCTCTATAAGATTTGAACAGAATACGCAGAAGGATCCTTCTTAACCATTCTTAGATAAGCAAAGTGTAGTCTAATGCTAGAACCTTCATCCAGAAATGTACAATTTCCTCTGGACAAATCTAACATGCAAACACAACTTCCTCTGGGATATAGAGGGTGTCCCCAAAGTCTTAGTGCAGTCTTTAATAACTTAAGATCCCACTAAGAGTCAGGATATGTCTATGGACCCATCCTTGGGATCTGTCTACAGTTAGTTGTTGTGCTTCCTACTAGAGAAGGATGAAAATGACATCACTATGTCAGGGTCAATATACAGCATGTCTGAATGTGGCCGATTAGACCAATACGAGCTTAGAAGACTCCACCGCAGGCCGGATACAAAGAGCCCAGAAGCATAAAAATGATGCAGTGGGTAACAGATATTTTAAAATACCTTGTTTTAACCTTTGAAGCCATGGTAGCAAATTTCCCTCGTTTTACTGTAGGGACAAATAAAAGTTTGATGAATGAATAAATAATTTAAAAAAGACATTTCTGTAGCCCTTTAAGGATTACAAAGGACTTTTCTTCTACAGCTCTCAGAGGTAGGTAGTGCAAGCATTATTAATAACACTCTATAGATGAAGAAAACAAGATTAGACCATTGATTTAAAGTTAGAAGAGACTCCCTTTTTTATACATGAGGAAACTGAGGGCTATGGAGATTAAGCAATTTACCCAAGGTCACACAGGTACTATGTAAAGAGGCAGGATTTGAACCGACATCCTCTGATTTCAGAGCCATTGTTTTTTCCTCCCACTGTTCCCAGTTCCCTATGGTAAGCCAGCTTGAAAGTGGCAAATATAAGGTGCTTGCCAGGTTCTTTAAGACCAATGCCTTTCAATGAATGACTCAGAGACAAAAAATAGTCTCAACAACACTATGTAAATCTGTAGGATTTTGCTGAGATTCTAGTCCTTCAGAAAGTTTCTTTCTCAAGGTATAAATATAAGCCACCTTTATAAAAACCAATGTTAGTAGATAGGACTAATGCCATCCTCATGATCTACATGGAAGCAGGTCTCTTTATGGAGCTGTAATATTTCTGGGGACCTGTGACCCCTTAGAATATCCAAATCCCAGGGCCCTTAGTGAGGAATTTTGTCTAAACAAAGATCTCCCCCATTCCTTCCCTCTCTTTCGCTATTTTATTCAGAATCATAGAATGTCAGCATTAGAAGGGACCTTACTCAGGGCCATCTATTCCAACCCATACCTGATTAAGAATACCCTTTACAATATGATGATGATAATAATGATAATAATGATGACAATACTGCCACCTATGGGTAGTATACAGTATATAGTGNTATGATGATGATAATAATGATAATAATGATGACAATACTGCCACCTATGGGTAGTATACAGACACATATACATCAC